CTAACCCTAACCCTAACCCTAACCCTAACCCTAACCCTAACCCTAACCCTAACCCTAACCCTAACCCTAACCCTAACCCTAACCCTAACCCTAACCCTAACCCTAACCCTAACCCTAACCCTAACCCTAACCCTAACCCTAACCCTAACCCTAACCCTAACCCTAACCCTAACCCTAACCCTAACCCTAACCCTAACCCTAACCCTAACCCTAACCCTAACCCTAACCTAACCCTAACCCTAACCCTAACCCTAACCCTAACCCTAACCCTAACCCTAACCCTAACCCTAACCCTAACCCTAACCCTAACCCTAACCCTAACCCTAACCCTAACCCTAACCCTAACCCTAACCCTAACCCTAACCCTAACCCTAACCCTAACCCTAACCCTAACCCTAACCCTAACCCTAACCCTAACCCTAACCCTAACCCTAACCCTAACCCTAACCCTAACCCTAACCCTAACCCTAACCCTAACCCTAACCCTAACCCTAACCCTAACCCTAACCCTAACCCTAACCCTAACCCTAACCCTAACCCTAACCCTAACCCTAACCCTAACCCTAACCCTAACCCTAACCCTAACCCTAACCCTAACCCTAACCCTAACCCTAACCCTAACCCTAACCCTAACCCTAACCCTAACCCTAACCCTAACCCTAACCCTAACCCTAACCCTAACCCTAACCCTAACCCTAACCCTAACCTAACCCTAACCCTAACCCTAACCCTAACCCTAACCCTAACCCTAACCCTAACCCTAACCCTAACCCTAACCCTAACCCTAACCCTAACCCTAACCCTAACCCTAACCCTAACCCTAACCCTAACCCTAACCCTAACCCTAACCCTAACCCTAACCCTAACCCTAACCCTAACCCTAACCCTAACCCTAACCCTAACCCTAACCCTAACCCTAACCCTAACCCTAACCCTAACCCTAACCCTAACCCTAACCCTAACCCTAACCCTAACCCTAACCCTAACCCTAACCCTAACCCTAACCCTAACCCTAACCCTAACCCTAACCCTAACCCTAACCCTAACCCTAACCCTAACCCTAACCCTAACCCTAACCCTAACCCTAACCCTAACCCTAACCCTAACCCTAACCCTAACCCTAACCCTAACCCTAACCCTAACCCTAACCCTAACCCTAACCCTAACCCTAACCCTAACCCTAACCCTAACCCTAACCCTAACCCTAACCCTAACCCTAACCCTAACCCTAACCCTAACCCTAACCCTAACCCTAACCCTAACCCTAACCCTAACCCTAACCCTAACCCTAACCCTAACCCTAACCCTAACCCTAACCCTAACCCTAACCCTAACCCTAACCCTAACCCTAACCCTAACCCTAACCCTAACCCTAACCCTAACCCTAACCCTAACCCTAACCCTAACCCTAACCCTAACCCTAACCCTAACCCTAACCCTAACCCTAACCCTAACCCTAACCCTAACCCTAACCCTAACCCTAACCCTAACCCTAACCCTAACCCTAACCCTAACCCTAACCCTAACCCTAACCCTAACCCTAACCCTAACCCTAACCCTAACCCTAACCCTAACCCTAACCCTAACCCTAACCCTAACCCTAACCCTAACCCTAACCCTAACCCTAACCCTAACCCTAACCCTAACCCTAACCTAACCCTAACCCTAACCCTAACCCTAACCCTAACCCTAACCCTAACCCTAACCCTAACCCTAACCCTAACCCTAACCCTAACCCTAACCCTAACCCTAACCCTAACCCTAACCCTAACCCTAACCCTAACCCTAACCCTAACCCTAACCCTAACCCTAACCCTAACCCTAACCCTAACCCTAACCCTAACCCTAACCCTAACCCTAACCCTAACCCTAACCCTAACCCTAACCCTAACCCTAACCCTAACCCTAACCCTAACCCTAACCCTAACCCTAACCCTAACCCTAACCCTAACCCTAACCCTAACCCTAACCCTAACCCTAACCCTAACCCTAACCCTAACCCTAACCCTAACCCTAACCCTAACCCTAACCCTAACCCTAACCCTAACCCTAACCCTAACCCTAACCCTAACCCTAACCCTAACCCTAACCCTAACCCTAACCCTAACCCTAACCCTAACCCTAACCCTAACCCTAACCCTAACCCTAACCCTAACCCTAACCCTAACCCTAACCCTAACCCTAACCCTAACCCTAACCCTAACCCTAACCCTAACCCTAACCCTAACCCTAACCCTAACCCTAACCCTAACCCTAACCCTAACCCTAACCCTAACCCTAACCCTAACCCTAACCCTAACCCTAACCCTAACCCTAACCCTAACCCTAACCCTAACCCTAACCCTAACCCTAACCCTAACCCTAACCCTAACCCTAACCCTAACCCTAACCCTAACCCTAACCCTAACCCTAACCCTAACCCTAACCCTAACCCTAACCCTAACCCTAACCCTAACCCTAACCCTAACCCTAACCCTAACCCTAACCCTAACCCTAACCCTAACCCTAACCCTAACCCTAACCCTAACCCTAACCCTAACCCTAACCCTAACCCTAACCCTAACCCTAACCCTAACCCTAACCCTAACCCTAACCCTAACCCTAACCCTAACCCTAACCCTAACCCTAACCCTAACCCCTAACCCTAACCCTAACCCTAACCCTAACCCTAACCCTAACCTAACCCTAACCCTAACCCTAACCCTAACCCAACCCTAACCCAACCCAACCCTAACCCTAACCCTAACCCCAACCCTAACCCTAACCCTAACCCTAACCCTAACCCTAACCCTAACCCTAACCTAACCCTAACCCTAACCCTAACCCTAACCCCTAACCCTAACCATAAGCCTAAACCTAAACCTAACCTTAACCTTTGGACTCATCCCGAAGATCAATGGATCAAGAAAGGAAATCAGGAAACAAAAGGGAAGGTAGGAACAAAAAAGCTCAGGCTCTGGGAAAGAAATGTTTTAGGTTCTAACAGTTTAAAAAGGGCACATGGACTGTGTGGGAGGAAACCGAACTTCTTTGCCTATAAGTTTTAAGAATCCATGTTAAAAGGAAATAATACCAGTCTTTCCCTCATTTAACAACTTTATAAGAATACTGCTTTGTACATCCTTTCTAGGTACTAGGATATAGTATGAAAGAAATAGAGAAGAAGCTGAGCAGGGATGGTACATGCCTATAATTGCAGCGACTCAGGAGGTGGAGGCAGGAGGACAGTGAATTTGAGGCCTGCCAGGGAAAGTTAGTAAGACAGGGTATCAAAACAAAATACAAACAAAACAACTGTGGGCATAGCTTCAGTGACAGAGTGCTTTGCTACCATATGCAAGATCCTGGGCTCAATCCCCAGTAACCACAGAAAAAAAAAATTAAAAAGCAGAAAAGATGTTTCACTATCTGGAGTTGGCCTTCCAGTGGAAAACACGGAAAACCAACAAGTAAACAATGAATGGTTTCATATGCAGCTGTGAAAAATGTAAGAGTCCCGTTGTAGACTGCAGATATCAGGGAAGGTTTGTTCAAAAAGACTAAACCGAGAAGTTAACCATGTTAACGTTGGGGTGCTGCAAACACAGAGAATCAGACCTACAACGGTCCCAGGGTAGTCATGTCTATGTCAACAGAGTACTATAAAACAGGCAAAGATGTAGAGCAAGTCTCCTGACAGGAGCCAGATCAAGTAAGCCTTGCAGTTTATATTTTATTCTAGATTCAATGGAAGGACATTTAGAAACCTTTAAGCAGCACAATGAAAGGATCAGATTTATGATTTTAAAAGTTCACTTATGTTACTATGTACAAAAAATACAGGTAAAAAGAAGTTGAAAGACAAATAAGCATCAACTGAAGTCCAGACAAAATATCATAAAACTTTTATACTAAGTTTATAGGTATTAAGATAAGACTAAAGGAAGTTTCAAAATATATTCAGGAAAAAAAATAAAGGCCTGAATAGAAACTTCAGAAAAATCAAGCTTAGACTTGCACATCTACCTACCCTAATTTGCAAGAACTCCAGAGATCATAGGCTTACAGTGGACATGCTGGACTGGTTTCCTACGTTGAGTAGAGCTCCTCTAGAACCAGGTTCTTCTACAAGTACCCTTGGGTCCTGTGTTGATATATATCAGAAAATTCGCTGGATTCCAAAATCTAAAAACAAATCTTACAACCCCCACTTTTTAAAGGTAGCGCATATTTACCGAACATGAGTTAGGATGCAGAGTACAAACTTCTTAAATAGACCATAGAAAAATTCCCACTTTTGTCTCAACACCTACTATACTAAGCATAGAAAACATCACATCTCTGCTGCCACACTTACTTTATTTTTTTAAAACAAATTTCGTATTTCCCTTTTCCCTGCTCTTATGGGAAATTATTTTTATGTTAAATGAATGGGCAGAAAGGATCACATATGGTTCTGGTTCAGCATACAACTCAACGTGCATGATGTCTTAGAGATGGCCTTGAACTGGGGAGAGAAGGGCCCCATGTTTAAAGCTAGAATAAATACTTAAAGACGTGATCTGTGAACACCAGCGGGACAACTGGAGTGGCTAGGGTGGCTGTCCCTGGAACCACCTCGTCCACACCTGGAGCCTCCAGACCCTCGTCCCGGTGCCTCGGTCCCTTCCCCCAGAGCGTCCCATTCACGCAGGGCTTCAGCCCCGGAACCTTCAAAACTGTGACGCAGACACAATTCCTAAATTACTGCACACCTGTATCCTTCAAAGGCCCACCAACAAGACAAGACTGCCCGATTCCTGACAAGAGGAAATGGCGAGAACACTAAGTAGGTAGCCTAGGGAGCCAATCGAATTTGGCGCCTATGTTCCTCGCGAGACTTCATTGATGACGTAATCCTCACGTCTTCTTCGATTCTCATTGGCTGCCTAATGCTTACACTAAGCGTCGCTTTGCAGGAGCCAATCCCGGGCAGCAGCAGGGGAGGCGGGGGGCGGGACACGAACCCGGAAGCGAGGTTCGCAGCGGAGACTTTGCCTTCTGGTAGGTTGGCAGCTGCTCTGGGTTCTGAAACGCGCTTCCTGGTAGCGGCTTGCGGGCTGAGACCTGCCAGCGGGCACTCGCGAACGAGGTCGGGCTGCGTCACGGACCCTAGGTAGGGCCGAGGCGGGAAGGCTGCAGGCGGACTCCGGGGCTGTGAGCGAGCAGCGGGTGGCGGAGTTGGCACTGGTGGGCTCCTCCCGCTCTTCCCGTACCTTTGTTCCCTCCTTCCCGGCTCGTGGCGCGTATCCCGGCGTCCCCGCGTCCCCGCGTCCCCGCGTCCCCGCGTCCCCGCGTCCCCGCGTCCCCGGGTCCCCGCGTCCCCGCGTCCCCGCGTCCCCGCGTCCCCGCGTCCCCGCGTCCCCGCGTCCCCGCGTGCTGCACTGAAGACAGCGCTGCACTTTTGAATGAGCAGATCTGCCTTCTGCGCTGCGCCGCAGGGGACTTGACCTCGGTGAGTTCACCTGGAAAATGGGGCTCCCCCGTCAGTGACTTGCTTGTGAATGCAATGTGTCTTTCAGTCAGCTGGAAAACACCCTAAGTAGGAATCGTGAACGTTTCTTTTAAACCTTGATTCATGAAGATGCTACTGAATTTGACATCTTACATTAAATATACCAGCAAAGTTTGAGGTATACTTTTTCGCGCCTTCAAACAGTAAATCCAGAACTTATATGAGGGAAGATTTTTGTTGTTGTTGTTTTTATAGAAAGGAAAGACGGTGGGGAGAGATCTGTGCTATAAGGTTACAATATTTGATAAATTACAATTGATCCCAACATTGTAAATATATGAATCGATCATATGACCACTTGCCAGAAAATAGTTTGAGAATAAAGGATAAAGTACAAAGTTCAGGAGGACTAATAAAACACAAAGCAGTAATGATGGGGTCTCTCAGTGGACTGGAAATCTGGACGGGATATGAAACCCTTGAGTTACAGGGCCAGAGAAGTTACTGATCTTGAGTGACAGATTAATAACAACATTATTAATTAATATTAATAACAATAATAACAGACACTAATAACATGTAGTACATTATGATTGAACACTATTGAACTTGTGAAGTGAGGTAGAACAAAATCAGTACCTTGGGGATATGACTGACAGTCACTACATCATCTATTTCTTTCCAGCAAAATTAACTGACAGGGCTTTAATTAAATCTAATGCTACAATTTTTTTTTTTCAGTACTGCAGATTGAATCCAGGGCTAAGCAGGCACTCTACCACTTGACCATGCCCCTACCCCTTTTGTTTGTATTTTGTTTTTAAAATAGGGTCTTGCTAACTATCTGCGCTGGCCCGCAATTCTTCATCCTCCTGTCTCCACCTCCACTGGGATGCACCAGTACTTCTGGCTAAATGCTACAAATATTTCATAATGCTTGCTATATACAAGTGACAAATATATTAGATATGATCCCTGCCATTAAGTTTAGAATCTTTTAAGGAGCTAAAACCAAGTTAATTGTGAAACAAGATGAAACAGCAAAAAGAGGAGAAAGCAGAGAGAGATCTATTTGGGAGAATCAAGAAAGTATGAAAGAGATACCATTTAAAAATAGCCTTGAAAGACTGGTAAGATTTCAACAAATATAGAGACTGAGAAACGGTATTTTAAAAATAACTTACTGTCATTATCTTTAGCTGATTAAGGCTTATATGCTGTGTAACACTTTTTTTGTTTCTGTTGTATATCTATGTGTCTACTTTATTAAAATCTCAAATGTACCTGTATTTATTAGCTATACTTTAAAACTTTCAAGCTTTCATCACTCTTATAAGCCAACAGATTAAAGTAACAGTTATAGCCATAGAGTTAGTAAAAGAAAACAACATAACAATAGCTACACCATAAAGACCATGGATGGCTGAAATCTATCAAGTACAATATTTAATATGTTTAATGAAGATCGTGAGAAAACCTTCAGAGTTTTGATAGAGTTTATTTGTACATGTTTGCAAGATTGTTATCTATTGTGTTGATAAATCCTCAATTACTATTTACTGATAATCTTCATGTTTTTGTTTTCAGATCTTTATGAGTAAAATAAAGCAGATATAATTAATCTCTAGAAACATACCTTAGCATTTGAATTTTTTTTATGTAGAATAGTACTAGAAATGGAAAAAGAGAAAATAAATGATGATGAAAAAACAGACCCAGAGAATTCCTTGGGTTTTTCTGAACACTTTAACCAACTTGAACTGTTGGAAACACATGGACACCTTATCCCCACTGGTACTCAAAGTCTCTGGGTAGGCAGTTCTGATCAAGATGAGGAACAAGATGAGAAAAATGAAGAATGGTATCAACTGCAAGAAAAAAAGATGGGAAAAGATCCAAGCAAATTGCTGCTTTGGGCTGCTGAAAAAAATCGGGTAAGAAAAAGAAAAGAAAAGGAACCATTACATAAAGCATTGGGTTTGGAGATAGAAGACCTGCCCCTCTGAATCTCTTTCTGCTCTGTATCTCTTTCTGTTCTGTATCTTTAGGAAATGCCGCCAGGTCTGAGCCTCTACTTTCTTATCTGTAAAAATGGCCATTATAATGTCTGTCTTTTTATTCAGGATTGTGATAATCAAATGAAACAATGTACATGAAAGCACATATTAAGTTACAAACTGTCATTTTAGGCATTGTTTGTGGGATTGAAGGTGATTATAAAGATAGCAATTAATGGTCTGTTTTAAATCATTTGTACCAAGTCATTAGGACCATCTTACAGTTAAGCATCATTTAGGATAGGTAGCATGAAAATTAACACTTACTAAATACTGACTTTATCAACTGCCTTACTACATTGTCTTACTTAATCCTCACCAATCCCTAGGGAAAGGTAAGGTTTGTTTTCACAGAGCATCCAAGTACAACTAACACCAAAAATCAGTTCATACTTTGCCATTTCCAATTCATTTTACTTGGTTCTCCAATGTCTATGTTGATAAACTAAAACGGTTTTAAATTTTTGTTCTTTTTTGTTGTTGTTTTGACAGTTCTGGTGTATAAAGGCCTCACGCTTGCTAGGCAGGTGCTCTATCACTTGAGCCACTCTGCCAGCCTAAAATGTATTTATATTTTTAAAAAGTCTTTTTAATCCCAGAGCACAGTACAGCACAACATAAGTCATAGATGAAACTGAAAATCGCTGCCTGGTGGCATGTTTCTAAAGTTATATAGAAGGAATTGAGCATTTTAACCTCTGGATTTTGTTGTCCTTTTATTCTTTGGTTAAAATAAGTATTAATTTTAAAACTGTTTTCTTTTGTTTTAGCAAGGATTTACTTTAGGACAACAGTATAAAGTAGTGAAGGGGGGGTGGGGGGGCATTTCCTGCTCTCCACACAGTAAATGGGAGTAAAGACTACTTAAAACTCTTATATACGTTGTATATTGGTATGATAGTACTATTATAAAAAAAGTAATTATGTTTCTTTACATAAAATATATAAAATACTAAATACAGGTGTTGCCTGCATTGTTGTTCTAGGGCCAAAGCTTCGGGAAGTAAGCCTTAATTGAACCATGAATAAATGTATGGTTTTATATTCAGGCAATTACATTCTTTGAAGCAACTGAGTGTAGTTAACCCCAACTTGTTCATTATTAAATCAGATGCCCTCTGCCAACAAAAAGGAAATCTTAAATTATTTTCATTTTAAAATCATCTACTAACAACTTTTTTTAAACTAAAGTGGATCTGAAACCACAGTACAATTTAATTTTTGTTTATTATTTCACTTTGAGTTGGGTTTGTAAAAGACCTCTTTTGTTCTTCTCAGCTTACTACAGTACGGAGACTCCTTTCTCAAAAGGCCACTCTTGTGAACACTAGGGATGAAGATGAGTATACCCCTCTTCATCGAGCAGCCTACAGTGGACACTTGGACATTGTCCGTGAGCTGGTGGCACAGGGGGCAGATGTTCATGCAGTGACTGTGGATGGCTGGACCCCCCTGCACAGTGCTTGTAAGTGGAACAACACCAGAGTGGCTTCTTTTTTACTTCAGCATGATGCAGATATCAATGCTCAAACGAAAGGCCTCTTGACCCCTTTACACCTTGCTGCTGGGAACAGAGACAGCAAAGATACCCTGGAACTCCTCCTGATGAACCGCTACATCAAACCAGATCTGAAGAACAACTTGGAAGAAACTGCATTTGATATCGCCAGGAGGACAAGTGTCTATCACTACCTCTTTGAAATTGTGGAAGGCTGTACAAATTCTTCACCTCAGCCTTAATGGTTCTGGTAATTTTCTTAGGTGTCTAAATACCAGTGCCTCCTGTGACGTATGAAATATTCCCATAATACAAACTTGACATGAAATGTCTCACTGCAGAAGCTCCTGGATAATCTAATGTGCTTCCAAGTGAATTGCCTGACCTCGCTGTCAGTATGCATTTGACAGTTGTTTGCATGCATCTTCAGTGATTTTTGTAGAGCTCGTGATCTTTATTAGAAGTAATTTTAACTTACCTATTGACATGGGTAATACAGAAACTAAAGATATTTTTTGGTGCTGATCCCAGGAAATTGTATTTTTAAATATTCCATATCCTGGGTTTTTGTTGCGTATTTAGGTGGTCGACATGTATTTTTATAACATAACTCACAATTTAAAAGTCTTAAATATACTGGTACAGTCCAGCTCTCTTCTCTACATTATCACATTCTGTTGGTTTCATTCTAAACAAGAGAAAGTAATATATTTGTAACTTGAATCAGTATAATTTTTTAAAAATTGAAAAGCCTAGATCTTTGTATTTTAGAATATAGACCATTTTCAGGAAAGCAGTTAGCTAGGTGTTTAATCCATGAATGCTACGAACTGCCTTCTCTACCATAATTTGCACAATTCTGTAAACAGTCCTACCTCACCCTTATCAACCTACATGGTTCTTACTCTTATGATAGGTCACTTTGACTTTTAGACATGCACACAACTATACCTTAGTATAGGAGATCAAAATAATGTTATTGAACTGGTTTTAGCTACCTATTCCTGCTGGGTTCAGTACTGCTCTTAAAGACTCTTAAGTTCCAGGAAAGGTTGATTTACCAAGGTCATCATTTTACACAAACTATCACAGAGGCAAAGTGACAAGGAATAAGGAATTCTAAGAGTGACGGACAATTATTTTATAGGAACTAGAACCCAAAAGTAGCTCATGCTTTCTTACAAAACCATTATGTGGACAGTGACCGAAAATAAAGTGCAAATTCTGACAATAAAAAGGCATGTATTCTCTTTTTAACCTATGTATAACTTTGCTGGATACACAGCATATTTATCCAAATACCTTGCGTTTCTTTAATATGTACTCTCTTGGGCTCTCTGGTGTAATTTTCCATTATCTACATAGACACACTGGCTATTCCCAAAGGGTCTTCACTTAACTTTTCCACAGGAGAGCTAAAATCCTAGGGAAAGGAAACAAAATCTGTTGTCTTTCCTTCAATATATTTTTTAAAGTCTTGAGCCAGTTCATATGACTCAATCACATTAGACTAAATAATAATGACATCTAATCAAATGGATGTGACAGTTTTATGGTTAGAACAGTATTGGATCATTTCAGAAAAACTATAAGGTAATACATGAACTGAATCACTGTGACAAACAGGATCTCAAATGTTACAAGAAATTCAGTTATTTGGTTATCTATTGCTAGGACATTCTTGCTTTCAGAGTATTTGTATCTGTGATACAAGGGCCTTGGCAGAATGTGAAGAAAGGCTAATCTGGCCCAAGTAAAAGATACCAAATAATAAGTACAGGCAGCAGATAGTGACAGTATAATAGGACCCCATCTGTCTGAAAGTCATTGAGCCTTTTACTCCATTCTTACTTGGGAATGTGCTGCATCACGATTTTATCCAAACTTTCCATGCAAGTTTGGGGCCAAAGACCCTACATATTTCTGATAACAAATTGACATGTGACTGCTGTTGTTTTCAGGGCTCAACACTCACCATGCCTATGAGCAAACTGCATAAAAGAGAATTCGTTTCTCCTGGAGGGCAGAATTTGTATAGTTTGCTTTCTTTATGCTTCCTTGGCATTTATAGACACCTCTGTCCTTGGAAGGCACTCACTAATGGCACTTTTGGTTATATTACACCTCCCTATATTTTCCAGTTCACATAGGCTAAATAGTTCAGTTTACAAGCCAGATTTTCTCTAATCTTGGAATGTATATCCAGGGACTTTTTTAAAAGTTAAATCCGTTTTTCGTAACTTAGAGCTAAATTTTGATTAACTATATGCTTGAGGAAGAGGTGACTTTTATTATTGCTCAAGGAAGTCATAATTCCAAGACCCATAGAGAAACTAATTGGCTGTGCCTTTATAAATCTCAAATACATTTCTCTGGGGAGCCTTATGGGCCACAATTCAGCACAGGGATAGAATTTAGAGTCTTTATACTAGAAATGGGAGCACATGCATTTATTTCTATTTGTTGTATTCATCACTATGCTAGGAGATGATGACCAAAAGAACTGCAGAGGCTACCCTGAAACTTAGGTTTCTTACCAAAATGAAATCTCTGAACCCAATCTGTATTTCCCATCAACACATGTATCATCTTCTCACTACCAGAAATGGTTCTGTGAATTTATGGAATTACCTATAAAATATCACCAAATCACCAATTATTTTGTTACTGAAATTAATTTATCATTAATTTGGATGCATTAATACTTCCGGGATTACTAGATGGCTATTAATCTTTATGGTGCTTTCTCTAAATGGAATTTAAGATGTATGTTTACTAAATTCAGGAGACAGGAAGAAGGATTGAATGTAGCCTATTGATGTTTTGAATTTCTGGGTATTTCCCTTAGAAACCCCCAAATTTTACTTCTGATGATCTAAGTAGAAATTATCTAAATCAGTGCTGTCATATAGAAACATAATACTCATTAAACCACAATGAGTAAAATTAATTTTAAATATCTAGCAAAGTATACCCAAAATAATCATTTCAACATGATACATATTTGAAAATTAGTAAGATATCTTATATTCATTTTGTAGTAAATCTTCAAAGTACAGTGTATATTTTACAGCACATTTCAATTCAGACTAGCCATGTTTTAAGTTCCAGATAGCCAAATTTGACTAGTGATTACTCATTGAGGAGCACAAGTCTAGATGACCGAGACAGTCCCTGTAGACATTAAAAAAAAATGGTTAAGATAAACATTAAACTTTGAAACACACGAATTTGGGTTTAAATCCTGATTGCCAACTATCTGTGACTTGAGCTAATAACCTCAGTTTTTTCAACATATAAAATGAGCAATATCTTGTTGCAGTGTTGCAAAAGAATAAATACGCTATAAAGTGAATAAAGTACTTACTACATGGTAGGTATTCCAGAAGTAGTACTGAGTGGTTTCCTTACCCAATACTTTGAGCAGAAATGCATTCCTGTTTTAGGTATTGGATCCTTGAACATTGAATTAGGTAGCTGTCTCTTTACAATCCTGTAGTTCTCTCTCACATCCACCCAGTGAAATTATCAACAAACAGCTTTTTCAAGAATGTAAGCAGCTCCATTCTCAGAAAAAATGCCTACCTAACTTTCAAAGGTAGGCGTTAAAGGCCAGGTATCAAAGGTCTCACTTCAAAAGAAGAAAAAAACTCAAAAAATAAGCAAATCAAGCAAAAGAATTTGAGGAAATAATTGCAGTAACTGGAGGGAAATGAGATTCTGAGAGAAAACAGTTCCAGACCGAATCCCGAACCTTGAAGGTTTATTTCTCATCCTATATCCATCTTCTTGGTGCCTTTTAAATGAGTTCTTTAAATTCACACCTATTTTTTTTTCCTTTTTCAAGATAAGTTCTTTATTATTCATCACTTTCAAATGCCATCAAATTCTATAGCACTTTAAACAGAATGCAGTTTTAGTACGTTAGTTATATTTCAATGAAATTGATTTTTTAGTGGTTTTTTTATGACATGATCTCTGTAGCCCAGGCTGAGATCCTCCTGCATCAGACTACCAACTGCTAGGATTATAGGTGTATGTCATCACACCCAACTTCAGTGAAGCTGATTTTAAATTTAAATATCCAAAAATGACTAATTTTATCCTTTTGTTATTTTCAATGGCAAGCAGTGATACATAATGACCTCTTCTAGGGGGTATATTTTCATGAGGTATTCAGTGTCCTATGTCTTACTAAAAAAAAAAAAAAAATTGACAATTCAGCCCTTTGTAAGGAGTAGTTTCTTCATTAAATAATACAATAGGAAAAAAATAATTTAGACAATTTGTCACCATTCAATAAACTTGGGAAAATGTCTAATACATAAGAAGGATTGGGTTGGCTTTTAGAGTAATTTGGATAATTACTGTTAGACTCTAAAATAGGAAACAGTAGGCATAGCATCAACTTCTGTGAAGAAATGATAGCATTTTAAATAGTCAATTGCTCATTCAATTAAGAAGTAGGCACACAGATTGAGATGACTTCTTTCTAAATCTATGGAAATAGACAATATAAAACAATTCACCTAGATTTTTTCTAAAATACTATTAAATAGTAATATATCAACTTTACTAAATTTTTTACAGGAAAGATTTGGTCTTGAGTTTTACCTTCATCAAGTGGACATTTTGGTTTTTTTCATTTAATTCAAATGAAATAATAAACCAGCATCCTGTTTTTATTGTTGATTTGTACTTTTATGGAAGGAAAAAATAGAAAACATATTCCATGTTTAAAATAGTACAGTTATAATTACTTTTATCAATTTACTCCCAAGAGAATGTGAAGTAGTGTATAATTGAAGACATACATGATAATCAGAAATAAAAAATTCAAATAGCATTAGAAGAAAAAAGGAAATAAAACCATTTAAATTACTATAATTACTGCAGTTGACAAACTACCTCCAAGTTTTTGATGTTGGAGAAAAGAGGAAAACAATAAATGTATGTTTCTTTACTATTTGATCAGATAAACTACATTGTTTTATGAGTCAAATTTCAGACTAGTTTATTTTTTCTAACTAAAATATACTTATTGTAATTTGTGGAGGTATACTTATAAAAATTCACAAATCTTGATAAATTGAAAAATGACCAGGCCCATGTTAACTCCAATCAGAACAAGGTATGGAAGAGAACTCCCTCCCCCAAACCTACTTTATTCTCCCCTTAGTGTTCCCTCAAAGGTAATCCCTATTCTAACTTCTACCACCATTATTTCATTTTTCTCTGTCTAAATAGTCGTTGGTACATCTGTATGCTTGGCTTCTTTTACTAAACATCAAGACTGTGAGATTCATCCACATTTCTACATGTAGAAAGGGTTTCTCCTTTTTCAGTGCTGTATTCTAAGAACATAGAATAATTTATAGATACATCTTATTTCTGATTCTCATGCCTTTGGACTGTTTTCAGTTGGGGCTTAGGAATAATGTTGCTCAGAGAATTCTAGTACATGGTTTTGGTGCACATCATACATTTCAGAATATGCCAATATTAGGACTATGGGTACTTATATTCTGCTTTAGTAAAATGTACCAAAACAGTTTTTCAATCACTTGGTCATACCAATTTATACTTTTTTATTTTGAGACACAGTCTCCTTTGGAATGTTGCTCAGGCTGATCTCGAACTGGTGGACTCAAAGGATCCCCCTGCCTCAGTTTCCCGAATATGGGACTACAGTTATGTGCCATCAGGCCTAGCTCAATGAACCCTCTCAATAGCAGGGAATGAGAGTTCTGGTTGCTCCATGTCCTCCCAACCCCTGATACTACCAGTAATAGCAATAGTTTTCGATCCAAAAGTTGAGATTTCTCGACATTAGTTTATTTGATTATTTGTTTGATCACGTTGTGATCAGGATGCGGTAGGCATAGCGCTGCGTGAAACCAGCGACCTTACCTGGCCACCAGTACAGTAACTGCGCCCTCTCCCCTTCCCCCTGGTTGTTCTGGTGGTGACCTATCCTTCCAGCTTTGGAGCCAGGCTTTTCTGAGTTCACATTCCAGTCGAGCCACTTCTTAACTGTGGGGCCTCAGGCAATTTCCTAAGCTTTTGTGAACCTCCATTTCCCTAGGAGAGAACTGAAAAACCTGTTTCAAAAACTGGTGTGAGAAACAGATGAAGGATTAATGGAAGGTCCTTTGCTTTGGTCAGCTCCCTAGCCTCATCGCCTTCTTTTTTTTTTTTTTTTTTTTTTTTTTTTTGGCAGCACTGGAGTTTGAACTCAGGGCCTCACACTTGCTAGGCAGGCACTCTACCACTTGAGCCATACCACCAGCTCCCGCCTCATCGCCTTCTTTGGCGCAGACGTCCCACTAGGGAACAGGTTGGCCCAGCGACTGGAGAGCATCAGCAGTCACTATGCCAACCGGAGCCGCCTCGTTGCCTGGCAGCAGGGCGGAGCAGCGCAGGCAGGGCGTCCCAGCGCCCGAGACCCCGGGCATGAGGCGGCAGGAGGCGTTGGTGGTGACCGCGGCGGCAGCGCCCGAGGGGGGCCAGGACGGGGAGCAGCCTCGGCAGCCCGCGGGCTTGGGGTGCAGGGCGCGCGGGGAGCCCGGCGGCCCCCAGGAGCCCCGCAAACAGTGTGAGTTCAGCTTCTCGCGGTCTCTGCGAGGGAGGGGCGGAGGGCGCGGAGAACCAGTGAGAGACCTCAAGATCTGGGCGGAAATGATAGGAGCCACTGTTCCAACAAAGGCAGAGGTGATGGCCCTCTGACAGAAAGCATCTGTCCGTGTCCCCAAACCAACCTCCACAAAGGGCACCTGAGCTTTAGGGTCTGAGCTCCAATCCAATCTGTAGTAGCATTATTCTGAAAACGACTAAGTAGAAATACGTGTGTGTGTGTATTGACATATTTACATGTGCACGTTATAGATAAAACATTTATATATTTATGTGGGTGCGTGTGATATTTCTCCAATTCACTTACTTTACAGATCAGGAAATTGAGCTATAGGCCAAGCGGAGGAAAGGACTTCGGCTCTTATCTCATGGACTCTTAAGTTTATAAACTATTACTTGATCCCTTTAGAATCTTAGAATTATGTACCACATTTCACCCAACTTCTGTTTCCTCCCTGGTCTGCCAAACATACAAACAATATTCAAATAAATAAAGACAGTTCTGTTTTGCAGCAACATCTATCAAGTTGTAACTTGAGTCCTAGCCAGGATGCAGTTCCCACTCACATTGTCTCATACATTTAGACATTTCAGTCTCTTGCACCCCATAGATCTTCAGCAGCTGGTGAGGAATGAGAGGAAAATAACTGGACCAAAGAGGAACACCAGCAGTTTCCAGCCTCCTATAGGGCCTCCTTGATTGTCTTTCTCAGAAGAAGTGTAAGGTTTTTGAGGCTTCCTGTGCCCTGACTGGCCCAGAGAGGGAGTATAGGACCCAAGCTCTCAGTACTTGTGCTTAAGTGGACCCCACACTTTCCACTCGCCCCAGACCTCATCAAAGAGTTGCAAACCCACTGCTCCTGGTGAAAGGGGTCTCTTCCCTCCACAGCACCAGCCCCCATGTGACAACCATATCTGATTCCTTTTATTACCACCAACATAATGCAGATACCTTACTTAGAGAAATTAAACTCAGTGTATTTAGTAATGGAGAGTCCTTACTCCTACTTAAAATTTTATCTAGCAACTTCACCCACTAAAACACTAGTTATCAAAAGGTTCTTTAGTTCCGAGTTAAAGGACTAGCCAGGGACTCTCAGGAACTGGACTTCATCATTGATTCACCAGTTCAACATTCATTGACTCACCAACTGCCAAGCATTGGAGAAGTTGCAGGGAAGGAAGTGAATTAGCACAGATGTCCAAACTTTCACAAGCTCACAAAATCAGAATAAGAGAATACAAATAATTTTTTGCCCCACCTTCTTTCAAAACCTCTTTTTAGGTAGAGGCTCCCATTCAATTTTCAGATGTCTCTAAGGGCTGGCGGAGTGGCTGGAGTGGTAGAGCACCTGCCTAGCAAGTGTGAAGCCCTGAGTTCAAACCCCAGTACCACCAAAAAAAAAAAAAATCTCAATTTTCAGATGTCTCTACTGTCTCTATTCCCTAATCACAAATGTACTCTAAAATATACATAGAGAAGCTCCTTTCTAGATAACATACAGGTGGCTATTTGAGCACCCACAAATCCATTATAGAACAATTCAACCTTCACATCGATTAATAGTGCTCTCACAATTCTGATAACATTCTCCAACATTTGCTTGTTTTAAGTTTTTTGTTGCTCCTTCAATTGAGCTTTTGGGAACAAAGACTACAACCGCTGGTCCCCTAACATTCACAATGCTACATTGGCAGATGTCCCTAGAGCGCTATCTAGTGTAACTGTACTTAGCTCCGTACACATTTGCTGGACACCTCTTAATATGCTAAGCTCTCTTATAGGACTACTGGGTTAAAGAGACAATATCCCTGCCCTTGTTGTGCTTATTGTCTACTAAAGAAGACAGATATTAAACTAATAGCCACACAAATAATTATATGTAAATGAAAGGAATCTGTATGCCAGCTGCAATAAATTTTAAAAAACAAAAAGAAAAAAGGAGGTAATAAGACAAAATGACTTCTATATTGTAGAATCAAGGAAAGTTTCCCCACAGAACTAATATTGAAGCTGATACTTAAAATTGGAGTAGAAGTTATACAGGGAAAAAATGACAGACAAAGGCAGTTCAGACAGAGAAGACAGGATGTACAAAGGTGGGAATGGACAGAAGGGACAGGTGGCTGGAGCTCAGACACACAGAGAATCTAACAGACAGGGTCAGGGAGCACACTGGAGTGTGCTTTTGGTTCCCAGTAATTCTGTCCTCTGGAATGCAGAAGTGTACTTAAGGTATTTAGAACAAATACCAGTCCTGGATTATAGGATCAGGTTTAAAGGCCAGGAAAAAGCTATATGTCCAGAAATGGTTTGCTACTAGAATTCAGATATAATCTTTCAAAATGATAATTTAAAATGCTGAGGTATTTTACACTCCAGATGTATACTGCAAGTTCCCTGTACACATCTGTCTTATCCTTTGCCCTGTACTCAGTAATGAGCCAAATGCCTGGCACAATACTATTGTAATAAGAATTTATTGACTAAATGAGTGAAAGTTTTCTTAAAGCTTATGAGAAAGTTTTGTATATTTCTTCATAATACCTAAAAGAGGAACCTAAACTTATCCTACAAGATGGGGAATTACATGAAAGTATGAAATCCCCAGAGAACCAAAAGTTTCAATGGAAGAAATGATTCCAAAATGGTCCCGACAGGGCAAATTTTCTGATATTTCTATAGAATAATATTTTTAAAGGTATTCATGTTGTGATAATGGTGAGAAGGTTGGGCAGAATTTCTAAGAAACCAATTTTGTTAATGCTTTTACAGGGAAGAAATTTTTATATTGTGAGCCACATAAGAGAATTAAGGAAGTACTGGAAGAAGAACTTTATATTAACAGAGATGAATGCCACATTAAAAATCCACCTGCAGGTAATCTCAGTGACAAATTAAGCATATTTATGAAATGAATATAAAATTGCCTATTTAATGGCAGGGTGGGTTTTTGCTTTAAGAAAAAACTATTAACTATGAGAAGAAAAATGGGTTCCTGGGAAATTCTTAAACTACTCTAAAGTTATTTTGACTATGTCCAAATAAACATTTACATGTAGGGAAAAGTGAACTAAAGCAATAGCATGTACTTTGTTGACCCACTTTTTGATGGAGTTTTTTTCTAATTAACTACAAATCAGCCACGCATTGTATCCCATGCCTATAACTCCAACTACTCAGGAGGATCACTTTTGGAGGCCAGCCTAGGCAAAAGTTAGTAAGGTCCCATCTCAACCAACAAGCTGGGTGTGGTGACACATGTAGGAAGCACAAATAGGAGGATTGTGGTCAAGGACAACCTGGACAAAAAAATGAGACCCTATTTGAAAAATAACTGAAGAATAAAAAAAGGGCTGGAGGCCTGACATGTGACTCGATTGTTAAAGTGCCTACAAGTGCAAGTCCCTGCGTTCAAACCCCAGAACCACCACCCTCCCTCCCAACAACAACAACAACAACAAAAATGGCAGGTAGAATTTCTTCCATATGCTTAAGAAATACCATAACATTTTCATAGGATAAAGGAATGACCAATAACAGCGGTTCCCAAACTTTAGAGTGCATCAGAATTTCCCACGACCTTATGCAGTTTACCTTAAAGCAGGTCTGAGGTAGGACCCAAGAATTTGCATTTCTACTAAGTTCCCAGGTGAGGTTGATGCTGATGGCACAGCAGACTAAGGCATTTAAATAGGTCACATCATCCAAGGACTTCTTACAAACACCTAGTGTGTGTTACATGCTCTGGGCATTGATAGCTATCATTGATGATTCATGGGAAAACAGGTTGCTCTAGGAACCACAGAATCCCTCACAGATGTTATTTTAGAATTTCTGGCATCTCTCATTTTTACAGTTCCTTCTCAACAGTTCTTAGGTGCAACTTCCATGTGACTCAAGTCATCAGGTTTTTATTGCAGTGCTCTTAGGTACCAGCAGTTGCTAGAAAAAATGAAAAGTACCATAAAATAGAACCCCTGTGCTGAGAAAACTTGCCATTTTCCAAGGAGGACTGTACTGGGCAGGTGGGGTCCTAAGACAGATGTTGCAAGCCCAGAGGTACATCATTTGGCACTCCATGAAGATAGGTAGGTGACATAGAAACGCCTTTGCCTCTTCTCCTGTGGTTCATTCTTATGAAAGAAGAGACCAGTAAAGTGGCCAAATTTGCTCATTCAATGTCTTCAAGGAGACTTTTAAAGTCTATTTTGAAATCTAGGAATGGATGCAGAATGACCTACTAAATTTCTTCCATGAATCCAGCCTACATGTACTATTTTCCTCATGGTTAAAAAATATTTTAATATTTTATAAGCCATTACTATTATAGTTTAGACTTATCTTCATTGTTTTAAAAGACTATGTAGAAGCCACAACAAGCTACTGCTACTTGATGTTATGCCTTTCTCACTGGATATATTTGATTGTGAGACAGCCTAAGTGAATAGGAAATAAAAATTCATTTTTCTTCATATAAAATGGGCTACATTCTTATAACATCCATCAGAGGACACACAAAGGTATTATTTTAGCCTAGAAAAGTCTCAAAGCTAAAAATAAATCCAGTTAAGTTCTATCTTTAAAGGAAAAAAAATTTTTTGTGGGTAGCCCCATATCCTTTGCCAGAATAAGGAACTAGTACCCACAGAAGGTGTTGCACTCTTCCAGCCTCATCTCAGTGTTGGCAGCCCTGAGCCAGCAGTTGGACCTTCAGCATTTGTGCTGATACATCCCTCCTTTGAATGCCTGGCCACAGCTTCTCTTCCATACACATGTAGTTACATGCACCCAGATTTCTGCATAAAACTTTTAAGGACTCGAGTGGCTCCTACAGCAGCAGCTATATGGAAAGAATAAGCACACACTTGAAGGTCAATGACAGTGATTCCTCCATGATACCTCTTTGTCAGCATCTGACACAATTGTTCACTCCTTCCCTATGAAAACATGTCTACAACTTGGCTTCTGGCTTACCATGGTACATTGTCCTGGTTTTGCTCCTACTTGTTTGGTTACATGGATGTCAACATAATTGTAGAGCCTAGGAGTCACAAAACATAAATCAAAATTCCTTAAATTATTCTTCCCCTGGTCATCTCTGAACAAGGGAAGTACAGAAGATGTGGTTCAAAACTGACTTTTTAAACTGTCATTTCATGATTCACAGTTCACAAACAGCTAAAAGGAACAAAAATATTTTTGAAGGGTGAGTTTACCTTCCCTATGAGACCAAGCTATGTACCACTGGCTAGAGTTTTTGGCACAAAGAATGGTTTTTTAATTTTGAGATTTAGGATAAAAACACACCTAAAAAGGTCTCTGAGTGGAAGGGAATGAGGGCATGAGAGAAAGGGGAAGAAATTCCAGAACATTTTAGGGAAGGTACCTGCAGCCCTTTTCTTTCTCAGGCTAGGTATGCCAACACTGAGGTCTGGCTGTTCTGTTCCCTGAATTGTCTTTCTTACACTTCCTGAATGCACATGCCCACAGCTGAGAGAGTCAGTTTCTCTGAAAAGAAGCAGGTTCTTCAATAGGCATCTGTGCTTTCTTCTAGACCTCTTTTCCTCCAGTTGAAATATCACCTGTAACTTCTTCACCCAAACATATCACATAAAAGTAGTGCTGGTTTTTCCAGAAACCTCTATTTCTGACTGCAATAAATACTGTGCATAAATATATTTGGCTTTGAGATTCTTAATGCTTTTCTTAGTATTTGCATTTATATTTCAGGTATTTTCTCTACTATTTGACTAGTGCAATTATTCCATCTAATTTGATGTGGTTGGTCTTCAGAGTTCTGCTTCTGGGTTTTAAACTGCTTTCTATTTACCAGATCTTCCCATAGTATGGAACAAATCTACATCTATTTTTTTTTTGTTTCTCACAGGGTGTGGTATACAGGAGGTGTTTCATAAATGCTTGTGGGCACCTGACTTTGAAAGCCCATTGCTAGGGGCTGGGGAGAAAGGCTCTTGCATCTCAGGATAGAAGACAAAAAGGGCTTCTGTGGCAGGGTAGGATTTAGGTTAGGTATAAAGAACAGGTTCAACTTTGTAAGGTCTTGACAGATGGAGATTGCAGGGTCTTCCTTGAAAGCCTTTAGAGAAGGAAGAAACTAATCTTCCTAGATAACTTCACCTATTCTACCCCCAAGTGGGAACAGAGGGGTAAATACTGACATTTGGCATGGTGAGTCAGCTCAGTGACTGTACCTCGAGAAGTGAAATCTGAGTTCATGCTTGCACAGTAAACTCTCTGTCCGTGTAAAAATAGTACCAACCATTTATTAAGTATAAAGAACTTTATATCCATATTATCTGCATCATACAATAATTCTTCAGGGTAAATATTATTTCCATTTCAAAATAAGGAAACAGACACACAGTTTCCCAAACATGGACTTGCCCAGTCACAGACTGAAGTTAGTAGAACTGAGACTAAAACCCTACTTCCCTTTGAACACAAAGACTGCACTACAAATCATCACATGGGATAGGTTCTTCTAGAAGGGGAAACAGAATGTCAGTAGAGGATGTCAGTGGGCAGTCCTAGGTCTGTGAAGAATATTTGGCATTAAAAGTTTAGGCTAAGAAACTGGAAAAACAACTTATGCCAACTAACCTGAACTCACCAACTCACCAACTTATTTGAGTTGTGTTGTGGTTTTCTGCACAGAAGTTTACAAAATGTTTGTTGACTTACTTGCAAGACTAAAAAAAGTGACTTTTAGGATATATATCCTAAAAAACGTTTCAGAATACAAGATCTATAATTTTCCATGTACTCATGTGTTTACATCACTTTCCAAGTGTCTTAAAATATATGATCCAGTGAGTTTTTGTTACTTCTTTCAAGGGGAGACTAAACAGCATCTAGTTCATAGCTTTGATTCTTGGACCTGTTAGATGAATTGATGTGATACATTTTGGTTTTCTTAACTGTGGAAATACTTCCACTTACTGCAGGAATTAAGTCAGAGTTAGAGAAGGCTGACTGAATAAATTCTCTGTATTAACTTTAATGTTCTTGATCTTTCTCTATTTTGTTAAAGATGCTCCAATACAGGCCCAAGGTAAATTGCATAAAAGAACTCAAGTGGTTTAAGTGCATAGGAGATAATTGGATGCATGAAATGGAATAAAAGATTAACTAAATGCTGAAGACCTTGGGTAGTTTGATCAATCAAGCCAAATAAACCTCCACCCCAATACAACATTTACACCAAGTAAATACTTCAGAAACAGATTGTGCTAAAAACAGAATATGCTAATAACCATCATCTTGATTTTGAAAATATTGACAGTGGCCCTGGAAGGGATTTGGAGCATTAAAAGAAATCTCCCCGTGGGAGGCTTGAGGCCACCAGGACCGCCGGGCAGAAACAATTTACTGCCACAAGCCAAGTACTACTCAAGGCATGGAGGACTGAGAACTAAGACCTTGGCACCCTGACTTTCATGGACACCCTGAGGGTACTGCGCAGTTTACAAACCAGTGGTATATATTTTGTTTAAAGATCTCAGTCAAAATTCAACCTTCCCTTGACTCATTTTTCTTAGGTTACTTTCTGTTAAGTCACAATAAATTACAGTGTAGCTAAATCAGTAACAGTTTGGCTAACCAGTGTACCCCTATGGATACAATACAATTGTATACCCAGACTTACACTCCTTACTTTTCCCTTTACTTCTTGTCCACAAAAGACATTCTAGCACACATTCAGCCTTTGTGGGTAGGAATCCTGCACTGTCCTTTCTTCTAGATGGATGGTCTTTGTTTTCCAGTGGAAATGAAGAAAGGGAGATGAGGGAATTAAAGAAGAACAAGGCAAGTGCTTTGCTTGGCTCCCTTAATTTCACCATATTCTAGGTAAGAAGCCACCAGGCTGAGTGCAGCGTATTGCTCCTCAACAGCAAGAACCTTTGAAACAAAACATTGCTTATTCCTCACTGTTACACTGAGGGTCTGCCAGCAATATTTGCAGCAGGGTGTGTGGAAGGCAGAGGTCTTGACATGGAACCACAGTGCCCAGATAATGTACGATATGAAACTCAGTACATGAGTACTGCAAATCACATGTACAGCTGGGAAATGAACTTGGGTAAAAGGAAAGAAGTCAGCAAAAGCCAAGCACAGGTACTCTTAACCAGCGAATCATGATAGCAAATGCTATATAGAACTGCTTATTCTAGATTCTTAATATATGTGATATGTGGTATTTTATTTAACCATTACACAATCACATAAAATAGGTATGATTCATTTTACATATCAGGAAACTGAGGAAGAGAGACATTGAATAATTTATCTAGTCACTGGGAAACAAGGATGGAACCTATCACAGGGTTATGATTAAGTAGTCACAAATTCCTGGGCTTTGGAAAGGCAGGTTTAGGAATCTAGGAGGCAACTGCATTCATAACCCACAAAGATACCATTGTTCTAGAGTAATGGCTGATTCAACCCAAGTCTGGGCTGCTTGCCTATTGGAGACTGTCTGAACTTACCACTCATTTTGTCGGATTCCATTTGTAATGAGTAAATCCATCATTCCAAGGAAACTCATAAAACAATTTATTTTAAGGATGAATGGTTTCCTAAGTGCATATTCTGACTAATTGAAAAACAAACTGCCTTTATTTGAAGACATATAAGATAATCCATCAATAGGGATCATATGACTAAAAATGTGTTTGAACATTATTGCATTGCTTTCCTCCATACTGTTTAGGGGAGACTTGTTCCTGGTTCCAACTTTTTGCTGTTTATCCACATTACCTTCCTAGCTGCCCCTAGCCCTCTATTCCTAGTCTATGCCAAGCCCTTGCTTAATGTCAATAACCATTAATGACATGTTTTAGTTTCATCTCTGTATATTTCTGGCTTCATTTTTCCCACATGGTACCAACTGCTACTATGTACTATGCAATCACAACTGCTAAATTTACTTGACTCAGACTGATAATTAAGATCCAGATATTTCTCATTATCAGTGAAAAAGGAAAACGCTGTGCATAGAAACGTCATAGATGAACAAACCCCACACACAGTTTTCAAAAAATGCCCTGCATAATTCATGAAGGTACAGACAATGTCTCTTAGCATGGTACCTCACACAGTAGGTGCTCAGTTGCTATTTGTCATGAGAATGACCAATGAATAAATGAACCAGAAAGTGAATGCTGCTTATCAACTTCGTGGTCAGAATATTTTTCTGTTAACCCACAAACATTTCCCCCTCCACATCCATATATGGTTTTCTCTGCTATTAATCAAAATGCAAACAATAGGGGGGAAGCAAGGGAATCTGCCATCTCCAGTGTGTGAATTAGGAAATTTCGCATATATTTTACCTATATTTGGCACTAAATCTTTCAAGGAGAGATTTCCTGTGGATTATGGTATTTCCAGGAATTTCACCATGCAGTATGTTTCAGTTAGACAATTAAATCAAAACTTATTGTGTTTTTTCCTATTTGCTTGTGCTTTTTATTTTCTTTTTTATGAGCTGTATGATCATGACCATATGACTGTTCCAGCATCTAATACACATCATGTACAATAAAATTTAGGGTCATGATCATCCATTTGTAGTTCTAAACCATGTTTTGGTTAGAGACCATGAAGTACCCTCTGATTTCATCATACTCACACACTTTTGCATGCTTTAATCATTTTCTTCTTATTCTGTGCCATATAATAAACCAAAACCAAAAAAGAAGTCATCTAGCAGAACTAAGTTTGAATGTGCCTATTAGTCACATGGTTATCTTATTAAAATTCAGATTCTGATTCTGCAATCTGGCATGGGTCTAAGAGTCCCCATTTTATACCAGCACTGAGATGCTGCTGATACTGCTTGTGTGAAAACTGTGCTGCAGTAATGGGGGTCTGGAAGACTGAGTAGTGGTCTTTCCAGCTACTGGGCACATGGGTTTGACTTTTACATTGTTCTACCAAATGAAATACCACTGGGAAGATGAAGCCAATTTTAGATTACAATAGGGCTGAGATTACATAGCATCTCCTCAAAGTAAAACACTTCTTTGCTCACATACTTTTTTTTTTAACTCTAGGATAACACGAGTACAGTTTTCCACTGAGAAGGAACCTCTCTCCCCTTATGTCTGCAGAATACAGAAGAAACCTAAGCTTGCTTCTTCATTTAAGATGGATGAAAAATGTTTATTAGTCTGTAATATCTATTTACAAATTAATCCAAAGCAATGAAAGACTATTTGTAAAGTTTGCTAAGTACCTGCAAACAATGAAGAAAAATATCATACTTATATTTATTTTTCATAATTGGAATACATTGGGCTTCTAATTCAGCTTGTTCTATTAAATATGTGCAACAATGATGAAACAAAAGCACATTTATTGAGTCTTTATTTCAAGGTAAGCACTACAAACCTTAAACGTTCATTATAGTATGATATGCTAATCCACATTACAAAAAGAAATAAATACATATATAGATAACTATTAGTAAATGAATAATATTAGGTGAAAGGTCTTTGACTCAGAAATAAACATATTTATACCACTTTGATACTTAGTTGAACTCATCATTTCTCTAGACGTTTACTAAATAGCAAGGAGCCAGGAAAAGTATGGAGATGTACATATATAAGTATTTTAACAATACTCTGGATTAAAAAGAAGAAAAAAGTTTTCTTTCCCCCAACTTCAAAATATATATACGTATATATGTAATTTGTGGCATAGAAAAATGGAAAATAAGGAAATATAAAGAAAAAAGTCATTCATATTTTATTTCCAGAAACAACCATTGATAACACATTGATGTATTTTTATTCTCTTTTTCTCTACATGTGTTACTTTAAGTGTTTGAAATCACATGATATAGTATACATACTTATGATCTCTTTAACATTACAGTACACACCTTCCCACTCATTTCTAATATAAAATATTAACTAAAATGCTTTATAGATCTGTGTCATATTTATTCATTTACTATTCTATTTTTGGATATTTGCATTTTCCCAATATTTCGTTTTATAGATACCCATTGTGATTCACTTACACACAGATGCACACACATGAACACATGTACACACGTTTGCAGGCACACACACATGCACACACATACACACGTGCATACACATGCGCACACACACTTGGAAAGTTCTCCTAGTATTCTAATTATGCATCTTTCATTCTCTTTCTCCTCTAGGATAAATTCATACTAAAACTTCCTCCAGTTCCCTTCTCAACTTCCTTACTCTTTTTTTCATGTAATAAAGTAAGTCTCAGATTTGTTGTCTGGGTATGTCCTACCTCTACTTAAAATTATTTATACCAAGAAATAGTCAATAATTTCTTGAGTCAAGACTCTCCCAGACTCAATATAAAAATTTCCATGTAGCTGATTCACACTAGATGAGACATCACTTGCAGACCAGTTCCAGCCACCACCATGCTTATGGGACACTCTCATCATTGCTGTGTTGAAATCAGTGTTGCAGTCCAGTGGCTAAAACTAAGCTATTACATCTCAAATTAGTCAAGGAATAAAACACCAAAAACTACCTCGAGTTAGGATTAAGCATTGACTATTTGTACAAATCTAAAAATCTTGAGCTTCTAAAAATTCTCACCATCAACTGTTTTGTTTGTATGCTAAGATATCACACAGAAGTGCAATGGGTGTGAGTACTAACTTTCATTCATTGATTACAAGTGATGTCCTGTTCCCAGTGTGACTTTCAACATGCCCAGGGATTTACTTTCTTACTTCTTCTCTACTCTTACTGATAAACAAGTTCCTGCTGTGTATTTTCTGGCTTGATGCTTGGGCTGGCTGGTCTGAGCCAGTGCCTTACCAGCTTGAACACTACAAGGACTGACTTCATAGCACTGTTTTCTTCGCTAAGGCCTCTGTCCTCGTTCCACTCTGGTCCCTGATTGCTTTAAATGCTGTTCTTCATTGCCTCGTTGCCTATTTTCCCAAGTGGATGCAAATACAGGGTTTTTCAGGCCAGCATTATTTGCTTGTTTTAGTTAGTTAGTTAGTTGCTTACGTAGTTGGTTAGTTAGTTAGTTAGTTGGCAGCACTGGGGGTTGAGCTCAGGGGCTGGCACTTGGAGGTAGTCACCCTTCTAGGTGAGTCACACCATCACCCTTTTTGCTTTGGTTGTCTTTGAGGTTGTCTCATTTTATGCTGGGGTAGGCCATTGTGATCCTCATATTCATGCTTCCCCGTAGCTGGGATGACAGATGCATGTCACTGCACCCATTGGCTGAAATGGGAGGGGGTTTGGGCCTGGAACTTCAGTCCTCCCAATCTCCTGAGTGGCTAGGATTACAGGCTTTAGCCACCATGCCTGGCCATGCCAGCATTCTTTATAATAGTGAATAACTGAAATCACTTAAATGCTCAATGTAGGGCATGATTTTTAAAAATTACTGTATATAAAATGCAACTA